CGCCAAACTCTTCCCCCTTAAAAAACTAACCACCATAACGTTGTGAAAGAAAGGTATAAAAGTGTACATTTAAATTTTTAATAACCACTCAAGAAATGAAGTATGAAAAACAATTTATAGCATAAAAACCAGTAATGTATAGAACAAAGGCAGCATTATCTTAGCAAAGCCTCTTTTGACCACTGAAAAGAAACATTAAAACATCCTATAAAATCAACCTGAGTAAACAGAGAGAGATGCTACACTCTTAATTGAGAAGACTGAATAAAGATGTAACTTTTTTATAGCTAACTCATTGCCTATGAATTCATTGGCAGTTTGAGGTTGATATTTTTCTCTCCAAATGAATCTATAAATTAACGCAAAATCAAAATTTCGATGGGATTTATGGAGATAAGGTACCCTATAGTTCACTTAGTGAAGTAAATGCATAAAAATTCTTTAAAACAGGACAGACTTGCCATACCAAATACTAAAACATATTACAGGTTGAGCATTCCTTATCCAAAATGCCTGGGACCAGAAGTATTTTGGATTTCAGATTTTTTTCAGATCTTGGAATATTTGCATGTACATAATGAGATATCTTGGGGATGGGACCCAAGTCTAAACACGAAATTCATTTGCGGTTCATATACGCCTTATACACATAGCCTTAAGGTAATTTTATACAATATTTTTTAACAATTTTGTGCGTGAAACAAAGTTTTGGCTACAGTTTGACTGCGACCTGTCACATGAGGTCAGGTGTGGAATTTTCCACTTGTGGCATCATTTCAGTGCACAAAAAGTTTTGCATTTTGGAGCATTTCGGATTTCAGATTTTTGGATTAGGGATACTTAACTTATATAAAGCTACATAAATGGATTAATTAAATCCATTCATTGGAATACTCTGGAAAGGCCACATTAACTGGATGGGAACATGTCAAAGACATGTGAAATACATTGTAAAATAGTATGTAGTATGATCCCAGATTTTTAAAGAAGCATATTTATTTACAGAAGCACAGAAAAATCAAAGACTACTAACATGGTTATTTGTAAGCCTCTAATCAGTGAGGCTTCCACTTATCTTATACACATACATACTTTCTGAAAGTTGTGATAAGTGTATATTAAAAGAGAGGGGAAAACAATGAGAGGTTAAAAAACAAGAGAGTTTTAGAACCAGAGGGAGAAAATCCAATTTGCCAGGAAAAGAAGATAATTCTGATGCAGACTCTTTGTCATTGTCTGTTATCAGAACATCAAAATCTTCTGCTTCTGTTTCCACTTCATGTGGATTCAAAGCAGTTTGTTTCTTCTGGGATCTTTTTGAAAATATACCTTTGGAAGAATCTATCTCGATGACAGAAGAGTTGTTTCTTTTGTCAAGTTCTTCTGGCTTCCGATTTATCTTTTCTGGACTTTCTGAATTTTCATTTGGTTTCTTTCTTTTTGACTTATGATTTCCTGTTTCCACTCGTTTCCTTTTGGTTTCTTTTTGATTGACATCAGGCTCTTGCTGTGGACTTTCTATTATGGGAATTAAAGAAATGCTTACTAATCAACCAAAAATAATTTTTAATACTTAATAAGCTTTTATCACCTTCAAATATCTAATTTTTTTTTAAATTTAAGACATAGGGTCTCACTCTGTTGCCCAGGCTGCAATGTAGTGGTGTGATCATAGCTCACTACAACCTCCAACTCCTGGGCTCAAGCAATCCTCCTGCTTCAGCCTCCCAAGTAGTGGGGATTACAGGTGAGAGTCACAAGGCCCAACACAATAGCCTTATGACTTTAAAATGAAAAGGCAAGAATCAAACGTAACATACTGAAAACAAGCTAGAGATCTTAATATTTAGATTGCCTTTGTTCCAGCTATGTAAGTTCACATTATCTCATCTAAGGCTTTCCTTAAATGAATGATAAGTATTTTAACATAATTAAAGTTGTCTTTGGGTTGGCATCTTTGGAAGCTGGCAGGGACTAACATGGCACTGTACAAGATGCTTTTACTTCAGTTGAACAATTTTCCCTGCCAACTGTAAGCAATGTTTGTTTGTAGTGACCACTTCCAAGAGTCAATGGCTAAGTCTTAGTGTTTTCAAATCCGACATATTAACATAGATAATAATTATCACTAACCTTGCTTCCCATGGCACTCAGAAAGTACCTGATGCTCAATTCGTTTTTTTAGAAGAAAGGGAAAATATTTTCTCAAAGAAAATTCAGGATTTGACAACCTAATTTCCTCCAGCAAAAGATTTCTTACTTCTTCAGTAAAATCTTTACGTGTCGTCATAAACTGCAATAAAGAATAAAATGCTCCTTGGGTCTACAGAGGAGTGAAAAAAGACAAAGAAAAAAAAAAAAGAAGAAGAATAAAATGCACAATAACAGAGCCAAATCATCTACTCACATTAATCACAATATTACCAACCACTTGTCCATAAGAAGTCAGTATCAATGTAAGCTCTACTCACTGAACACAAAGCTGTATTTGCATAGCTTCTGAAGGATTTAGCTCATATTTTATTTCTCTCCCTTTCAACTAACTATAATTTATACACTTAATATACTATAATGTTGATTTATAATGTATCAAAATGTGCTATATAATCTAATATTCTTTCAAAACTGGCTTTCATTAATTCTTTTTTTTTTAATTCCTGCTGTGTGGTCGATATCTGAAAATTCATTACTTCTTAAAATGTTTTTAAAGCTCTATGAGTATTTAAAAGAAATATGTGCTACAATTAGGATTTATTTTTTAACATTAGACTCTAGGAAAAAAGGAACTCTAGGCTACAATAGTAGATATCCAAAAATTTTTTTTTCTCTGAAACATGTAGGAGAAATGTCCTTCAATGAATGTGCTCTCTAATACTTACCACACCTGCAGAATTTTTGCTTTTTGAATTTGAATTCACTGTTGAAAATTCACCAAGAGCAATAACACATTTTGAAAGATCTATTACTTTAGTACTGAGTTCTTTAAATGTAGTTAAGAGAGGACAAGAAGGTGGTTTCAAATGCCACAAATGGCACCCTAAAGAAAGAAAAACAGAAAAGTTATCTTAATTAACTTTATTTATATATTATTCATTTATTAAATGTAAAGTAACGTGAAAAGATTCGACAACTACATAGTTAACACGAAAGTACCAAAAACCCAAATGAGTATATAAAATCCTCATCTCCAACAAATACAATTAATAAAAAATACCTAGTCTTCCCTCCCAATTGTTAAAAAACAAGTAAATATTAGCAAACTTTCATTTCATTTCTTTTCTTTT